GAAAAGAATGCATTTAGCAAACAAAGAACTCCTATTCTCATCCAAACACTTGGGAGGTATGGGACCCAAACTTATTCATATAGTCAATAAAATTCTTTTAATTAAGCAAATTTTTAGGCTAAACTCAATCACCTGATAATTCTCTTGTAGGTTCTTCATTAAAAAGAAAGAATGTGGATTTTAACTTGCTTGCTTTAATTAAGAAACCCCATAATACTTCATTGATCTGGAAGGGTGTTTTTAGTTGTTCTAACATCATCATCAGACTATTAAAGTGGAATATTGGCAATGGGAGGAATATTAAGCTTACTAATAGATTTGGGAAGGGTCTTTTCCACTAATTTGAATTTTACCCATCTCAATATCTCTAATCTTATCTCTTCCACTAACTCCCCTGGTTTCCACTAAAATAGAATGTTAATGTCCTACAACAAACTTACCATATTCAAACAGTTAAAGCTATTTCTTCTATATTCCTATTTCTTTCTCGGGACAGCAAGGTAAGTTGGTATGGAAAGGGTGCACTTTTGACTCTTACAATTCAACATTAGGCTTCAAGTCTCTCATTACCAATTTGGACAGTAACAATCTTGATAACTTCCCTTAGTCTAACTTTTGGAAGCTTAAGGTAGCAATTTGATTGATGTATTTGGATTTAAATTTTAGATTTGAAATCTTGCATTTCAAATCTTACATTTGAAATTCATGAATTTAAAATTATTTATTTAGGTAATTTAAAAAAAATAAATGAAGAAGATAAATGAATCAAAATTCAAAATGAAAATAAAAAAATAAAAATGATGAGTTTATTTCTATTTTTTATTGACAATTGATAAGAAAAGATATGAGAGTTATAAAAATATCAATAATGAAAATGTGAAGAAAACAAGATGTTTAAAGTAATTATAATTTTAAATAACTAGAATTTAGATGAAATTTGAAATTATAAGAAAATTATAATTTAAAATAGATTTGGATTTGAATTCATAAAATTTTGTATATCTAAAAAAGAAATTTTGCTCAAATCCAAATCCAAATTCAAATAATTAATAATCCAAACATACGATAAGCTCCTTTGAAAGCATCTTGCCTTTCTTTGGAAGCTTCTTTATGAAGCAATTCCCACTAATGATATTATCCAAAAGCATTACTTGTATACTAACAAGTATCCATTTGGATACAAAATGAGGAAACCATTCCTAATCTTTTTCAATTGTCCTGTTTCAAGAGCTCTTTGGTTCGGAGCTTCATCCTTGAATTTTGATTTTTCAGATTATTCAAGCTATTTGAAATCTCTAAAGGGTTTCATCAAGCATCTTATTTCAAATAGCAAATTTGATATATTGGAGAGATTCATAATTTTAATCAATTACATTTAGAAGCTCCAAAACTCTATCATTCATAATGATCACAAGCTAGATTTTTGTAAAGCCATTCAAGATTACCATCATTAGTACCACTTTCAAAAGCATATATGTACATGAGATGAAATTGATCTGCATGCATCTAGAACTAATGCTTCCAACAGCTCATTGGGATTGCGAAATTTGGTTGTGACTATTACTAAAAGAAGTCTTCCAAATTTTTAAGGAGACAGATGGAACTTTATGTGTACCAAGGAAAATCAGAGGTTATTCAAGGTGGTCAAAAATCTTAATTCTTCATGATAGATGACAAGCTAAAGCTATCATATTTACATGGTCTAAATACATATCTATTAATTTGAGAGACTTTGAAATTCTTTGCCTTCGTTTAACCTTATGCTTGACCCTGACCATGACTCTTGCTACTAATAATCTTCAATTTTAAGACCTCAATCTCCTTTGTTGGCTGAACTTCTTCCTTGATAAATCTTTAGTCGGAGGCTTTGGTTTGCGATGATTGCAAGACATTTGCTCTCTTCTCTCCATCGTAACTTCAATGTGGTCTACACTCTACACTCTGAGTTTGCGTTTGAAACTAGCGCAAGTGGATGTGTGCTTCCTGCATTTTAACTTCTTTTGTTAGCTTCCAACTTGTATTATTTTCATTTTTTTCTTTTAATTTTTTATGTATTTGAAACTATTTTTTCTTTTATTAAAAAAATAGAGACCAAAGAATTGGTCAAAATTGATAAAAAATGGTGGCTGTTCTCGTTAAAGCGATCACTTACATTTAAAAAAAATTAAGAATTATTGGATAATATGTTTTGACCTTTAAATTATAGGTTCGAAAGTATCTGAAGCCCTGAACTCATTTTTTATATAATGTTTTCCTAAACTTTTGAATATGGTGTAATGTAGCCTTATCGTAATCAAAAATTAACTTTAGCTATTAGTTAACCGGAAATGATCAAAAAAGGTTAAAAAATTATAGAAAAGGACCAAAAATTAAACAAAAGGTTCTAAAAATCACAAACAAGGACCTAAAAATTTCAAAAAAAAGATCAAGAAAATTTTTTTGTAATTTTTAAGATCCCTTTTATCATTTTATGGTTAACCATTGGTTAAAGTTAACTTTTATTATTAATAGGGATTGCATTGCATTATTTTCAAAAGTTGAAAGGAAACATTGTATAAAAAATAAATTTAGGATCCTAAATGCTCCTGAACCTATAGTTTGGGAGGTTAAATTATTATTTAATCTAAAATTTAATCATTTTTTTTGTTACAATTTATGTTTATATTTTTTTTTATAAAAAATCAACAATAACATTAAGAAAAAACAATAGTTTACAAAACATGAGTAGTTAAAAAGTCTAAAAGAGAAGGAGACAAGAAAAGACAAAGATAATGAGAAACATCAAATTCAACATACCAAATAAAGCAACTAGCTTGTTAATGCCTTGCAATAAAAGATGGAGCAAATAATAGTTAAAGTATTGGAAGTAGATGCAACATTGTTGAAGAGGTGGTGTTATGGAGATAAGCTTTAATCCATGTAAAAGCAACCCGAACATAAAGGAGGTTGAGACAATTTGATTCTATGGTGATCGAACGTCTCCACTTGATGCTATATAAAAAATTTGAATTGCAATAAAACAAAGCTAACCAAAGATTCCTCAAATCTTATATTTCATCATTCTAATATTTCAGACGCAAGGATATGGTATTTCAGCACCACAATCTATTAGAGAGTAGGATGAATAGCAAAGTGATGAAGAGAAGGCTGCAATTTATTCTGTTATTAACAAATATTTACCAGATAAAATAAGTTCAATCAAATTCTTTAACCACTTTCACAGGAAATAAAATGACTCCATTATGAAAAACTAGATTTCTTTTCCTCCAAATTAGATTGAGCAAAATAATTATGCCTCTTAATTAAAGGTCTAAACAATCACTGTGTAGTTGGAATAGAGTGGAGATAATCCAACTAGACAAACCTATTTCCTCAAAAAAGGAAAATTGAATATATAAAGCTTCAAATCAAATGGATTTTACATAACTACAACCACCAAAAAGATGTTATACAAATTTAGAGTCCATGCAACAAAAAATACTCTAAGATTGAACATTTAACTAATGATGTTGGAGAACATCTCCTAAGGAAAGAGCTGAGTGAATCAATTGTTCAATAAACAAGAGTTGCTTTTGAGGCAAATGAATCTTTCAAAGCAGTTAATGTTTTATACGTAAAAGGAAGAAAAATGAACAAACATGTATGAAACGTGTAAGCATTCTAACACTATAAGTTATAAATTATAAATTAAGTATGTAAATTTTGGATGAAGATATTGAAGAACGGGTTGACGTTACAATTTTTTACTATATATTATTTTCTAAGAATTTAATTATTCATTTGTATTATCATAGATGATTATTTTTTATTTTAAACATATATTATTTAAAATATATCAATTTAGTAAGAGTAATTCAACAACGGTTCAACCACAATGTCACTATCAAACCCCAATCCGTTTGATGATTTGTGGAATTTTCATGAGATTAGTTTTTTCTTTTTTTTTTAAATAAAAATTTAGATGAGGCTGAAGATTAGAGGAGACCTCAAAGATACCAAGCAAGAATCAAACGCAAGAATCGAGATCATTCTGCGGCAATAATAATAATAATAAACGAGATCATTCAGGGATGATATGCGTTTGCATGCATGCATGTGATATTTCTAATATAAGGTATTTTTTTAAAATTTAGATATTAATTTTTTAAATATTTTAAAGTATAATTAATTTACTTTTATTAAAATCATTTTTAATAAATAAGTCACTTTTTATTTATTTTAAAATAAAATACTATATTATATAAGAATAAATATGAAAAGATGGTGTTAATTAAAAAATAATTAATTACTTTATTTGAAGTGAAATTTGATTAAAACTATCTTATATTTTTTGAAGAATGACAGAGAGGTCTCATTTCCAAAAAGATTCAACTTAGATTCCAAATGTTAAATTTTAAAAATTTATAAATTTAGCCCTCAATTTTGTAACTTTATTATGATAAATTTACTATTTATTTTTTTTAAATTTTAACATGATTGAAGAATAAATAAATTTTTTTTCTCGACTAAAATTTGAAACACAAGTTACAAATTTATCACAATAAAATTATAAAATTAAAAAATGAACTTACAAATTTCTAAAATTTAATACTTAAAATTTAAGTTGATTCTTTTATAGCTACTTCTTTGTTAAAAAATATAAGATATTTTTAACTGAATTTCACATTTAATAAAATAATTATCTATTTTCAAACTAACCATATCTTTTCATATTTATTTCTATTAAACACCTATAATAAACATAAAATTATTTATCAATAGAGATACTTTTAAAAAAATAATTACATATTAAAAAATTAAAAATATTTTATATTTTTAAACATCTAACTTTTAAAATTTTTTTTATATTTTTAAATGAAGTGAGTGTACGTCATTATCCTTGTATTTTTTGATGACGGTGGAATGTAAACATTATTGGGTTTTTTTTATTTTTCCCGCTTTCCTTTTAAAATCAGAGTGAACAGTGAAGATGCGAAAGCAAACGTGGGAAGACTGTAAATAGCATGAACGTGCAGTGAGGGTTTAGGGCACACTGCGTCGATTCTTCACTTCTTCGTTTTCTCTTTGCCATCATCCTCCGGAGGCAGAGGTGACTGGCTCCATCAACTTCGGTGTCTTCATTCTCCATCTTCTCCAGCGTCTTCGCGCTGGTAGAGGTAAGGAACAAATTCCATGCGCTGCTTCCCCTGTTTCAGACTTTCTTTTCCCATCTGTTCAATAATGCTCTAGTCAATGTGAAGTAAGCCTTTCTATTCTTTTAGATGTTTAGTAAGATTTTGGATCAACTAAAGTCTTAGAAATTTCATAAGAGGTATGTTATACGTTACAGGAAATCTTAGTATATTTGCTGCTGTATTTCATAAGAGATGAGTGATGACAGATGACTATGTTGTAAAATCACTGTTAAGGTATAGTTTGTTCAGAAAGGCACTAACTTGAAATTAGAGGAGTTGCTTTTCTAGTTTCTTTTTTGTATGATTGTTTTATGATGTGTATTTGGAAGTTGATACCTGGAATTACTCTATATCATTCTTTTGTGCAGGCAGTTCCATGATTTCCAGTTCATTACCCCGCGTATTTTCTGGGAATGATGACCTCCATTGCTTGATTCCTTGCACAGTTTCTTATGCTAAATTATTATAAAAAAATCTCTTATAATTCTGGGAAATTTAGACGATAACATTGACTTCACCTTGTTAGATAAGGCTTCTTGTTGTTTAGATGATGATAGGAAAATGTGTTGAATTACTCTGGTCCTTATTATAAGGCATCTTCTAGAAGAGATTGATGATCCTTAATATAAAACACTTGATAGGGTATTAATTAAGTTTTTCCAATATTGTCATTATTTAAACTCATGAATTATAAGAGAGAATGTAATGTAAGTTTGAAAATTTTTCATTTTAATATAGCTAAAGTTGGAAGTTTATTTTATTTTCAGACAAAATTAATGACTTAATCACCTCTCCTCAATTCTAGTGAGGCAGTTAGAGGTGCCTTGTAATAGAGATTGGAGAGAATATTTATCCTGTGTGCACATGCCTGTGTGTTTTATTAAAGCTGCAAAGTAAGATTGATAATAAGAAATCTAAATCTCAATGATGATGATGATGATGATGATAACAAAATCCTTTTATAACTCTACAAAAGTAATTACTAGGAGAAAATCGTTAGTGTCTATATATGTATATATTTTAGACTATAGATGCTGAAAATTAATGGAAATGACTTTCTAAGTAATTCAGATTTTTAAAATTTTTTATTATAACTATAAGTTTTGTATAGTTGGGTCATGCATCCAATATAATTGTCCCTAAAATTGCAATTTGCAAACATTTTCCTCCTTGTCAAAGTAGACCATGAGACGCCAATCAATGATGAAATGGGGAGAGCAGGAAGACAAATATATTAGAAACTGTTATTGTAACATTCTTCATTGCTTGTTTATCTTCCCATCCTCCATTGCGTTCTTCTTTTCTTTGGTGCATCCAAACCATGGCTAATTTCATTACTGTGATTGTTGTCTTACTCACTTATAGGGTTGCTCTGCCACATGGGTATATTCAATGTATAAGTTAAGAGGCAGCCTTAGCTCGTTGAGAAATACTTCATATCAACACCAAAGCAGGTATCTCAACATGAAGACGAAGGTTGAATTGGCAAAGGAGGATTGGAGGAAGAGCTTTTGAATGAGGTGGAAGATTGGATGGGCAAACAGAGCTTGGCTTCTCTGAACTAATGACTCCTCTTCCCACTCAGAGTTCAGTATTTCAGTGTTTCTCACTTCCACACTTATCTCTATGATTTTATGATTTGAGGTTCTAAGCATTTGATTCTGATTTTGCCCACTATGGTCAGCCGTATGCTTTCCAAAAATATCTTCATTTTCTCATCCATTTGTTCTTCATCATCTTTAGTTTGTCCTCTTCTCTTTCAAATTTGTCACTTCCCTAGCTTGTTGAATAACTCTTCATTACTTAGATGTCACTATCATGAATCCCGAAATATACCAGTTCCAGTATGGTGGGATTTTGAGAATTGTAATCCACCATCTGATGTGAATGTTTATAAAATTGCTCACTGCATAAGTGAGGCAGTTAGAGCCAAAGGGATCATGGGTCCCCTTCAAATTAAGGCATTTGGTGACGTTTATCAGCTCACAAGGACTAACCAGGAGGCTCTCGCATCTACTGGGATCAAAATCATCCATGTTCCTAAAGGTTGGTCTTGTTGCTCTTATTTGTTGGGATTTGTAGTTTATTTGTATTTTTTGCCCACTTGTTTTAGGTGAGGGAAACACAGAGAATAAATGGTCAAAGCTGATTATTTCATGGAACCATTCAGATAGTGAGTGTATGTTACTGCATTTCATTTTTATTCAAAAGTTGGTGTCTCATTCACTATTTATATATTCCACTATTCTGTAATTGGGTGGCTGATTGGACTATAAAACTCGTGATCTGTCTTAATTTAGAGGCTGAATATAAGTTTCAATTTGGAAAGTAATGAACAAAAGCATGCTTTTGGCTGTGAGAGAGTGAGATAAGAGGGGAGTTTTGGTCCTTTTCTGCATCTCTCTTGTTATGCTTACAGTTCTCATGGCAATGTTTCTGTTGTATTGTTCATTATTTCTTCACATTTCAAAATTATTTTGTCTCTAACTACATGATTGCAGGTGGAAAGAATAGTGCCGATAGATCTCTTCTAATTGACCTTATGTATTGGGTTTCCCAAAATCCTCCTCCAGCTCATTTGTTTCTAATTTCTGGTGATAAGGATTTTGCAGAAGTGTTACATCGTTTGAGAATGAATAACTACAATATCCTAATTGCTAGTATGGAGATTTCTAATGTTCTCTGCAGTGTAGCAACTATAGTGTGGCACTGGAATTTATTACTTAGAGGAGAAAATGTTAAGGGAAAACATTTCAATCATCCTCCTGATGGTTTGTATGGTACTTGGTATGGTCACCATGATGAACCTCTTGAAGACCCTTTCCCAGATGGAAAGAAATTTACATTTCCACGAATTGAGGAATTCCCAAAATCTATCTCAGGTTTGAACTTACGTCCAATTCCAAAGTTAGTTGTGAGGCAGGTTCATCAAATATTGAGTTCATATCCAAACGGCATCCCTTTAACATGTCTTCGAATGGAGTTGGAAAAAGCTGGTATTTCATTGCCTAAAGATTACTATGGATATAAAAAGTTTTCCCTTTTGCTTTTATCAGTGGCATGTGTACATCTTCAGGTTGTACCTGCAGGACTTATTGCACATTACATCTCCAAAAAATCTCCTAAACCCATTGCAAGCAGTTTTGTGTCATCAACAGAATTAGTTGATAATGAGGAGTTGAATCATGTGGCTACTTCAATGGCCTCATCTCATGAACTTAGTGGGGAAGATATTCCAGAGAAAGTCAAACAGGTTGCGGATGTGACCAAGACCAAGAGTCAATTGCCTCCTAAGGAGAATGAAATACTTTGCTCTACTGATGCAAGTCAAGCTGTTGCAGAAACTGCAACTTGTCACATTGTTGGAAGCACTGAATCTGTGGTTGCCAAAAGCAGCGGTGGACACACGGAAACTCACAGCAGTACTGTTAGCAAACGTCTAACTTTCATGGGTTGGATTGGAAGTTGGTGGCCATTCAGGAAAAAAGTTCAAAACACTCATAATTTGACCGCTCACAGGAATGAGATGGTTAGTAACGCTAAAGAGCCTGAGTTATTGAGTTCGCAACAGACAGTTAGTCATTATAAAGAGCCTGAGTTATCAAGTCTAAAACAGAGCTTCGGTCATTCTGAAGAGCTTCAGTCATTTGAACAGAGACAAATGGCGAGTCAATTTATGGAGGCTGGGTTGTCAGAACTGAGACAGACAGTGAATCATTCTGGAGAGCCTAAGTTATTTTCTTGTAGTTCCTTTTGGGAGGAAATGGAATCTTTTGTTTTCACCTCCAAAGGAGCAATTCTTGTCTTCCACTCAAGAAGCAGGTTGGTTAGTATAATAGTCCTTTACAGCTCATTCGAAAAATTGTAAATTTTCTATGTACTAAATGAACAATGTGTAGATAGTTGCAAGACTTTCTCAATTTTCTATGATATTCATTATATAGCCATGTGGTGAAAGAACCTCGAAGTAATGATATGCAATATCTTTTATTTAACAGGAAGGATATAGCGCTTAGTTTTCAAAAGTATGGACCCCAGGTTCTCCGCTCGCTTAGTGAAAGTGATCTACTTCTATTGGTGGGTTTTTTAATATCTGAGAAGAAATGGCTGCAGGAAAGGCCTTCTGAGGCTTTTCCTTTCCGTGTCATTCCAGGCAGAACTAGACAAATTAACTTACGAGAATCATCAGAATGTCAAGTTGATAAAAAACAGAGTATTCTTCATACTGAGGCTTCTTCACCTGCCCCTCAAAAAGAGCACACTGAGAAGTCTAGCACTGAGAAGTCTAGAACTGACATGACAGCAGATGTTCAGAAACTTGTGAGTAAGATATTGAAGGACCACCCGAATGGGTGCAATATGGGTCTGATACGAACGCTCTTTCTCCAGAAGTATGGCTATCATTTAGATATTGGGAAGCTTGGTTATTCTAAGTTATCGCACCTCATCCAGAGTCTGCCTGGAGTGGACACAGAGGATGCATGTTTCTTTCCTGCAAATCGTGGCATACATGCTTCTGTTAATGAAACATCAATTCTCGAAGCACAAGAGACAAAACTAAGTGATGCAGACTACCACTATTCAGATAATGAGTTGCATGATTCATACTCTGAAGATGATTGGAAAGAATCCCCATGGGAGGAATTAGGACCTGTTTCTGTCAGAAATTCCAACGAGAGTGACCTGGAATCAAGACCAATGCAGAAACCAATAGAACTGAAGACTGCAATAGATCCTGATTATGGATATGATCTCTCTGATGATGATTGTTCTGAATCTGAAGGAGATAACTCCTGTTTAACTCAATCAGGAGTGAAAGAATCCCCATGGGAGGAATTAGGACCTGATTCTGTCAGCAATTCCAGCGAGAGTGACCTGGAATCAAGACCAAGGCAGAAACCAATGGAGCTGAAGACTGCAATAGATCCTGATTATGAATGTGTTCTCTCTGATGATGATTCTTCTGAATCTGGAGGAGATATATCCTGTTTAACTCGATCAGAAGAGAAAGAATCCCCATGGGAGGAATTAGGACCTGATTCTGTCAGCAATTCCAACGAGAGTGACCTGGAATCTAGACCAAGGCAGAAACCGATAGAGCTGAAGACTGCAATAGATGCTGATTATGAATGTGTTCTCTCTGATGATGATTCTTCTGAATCTAGAGGAGGTAACTCCCGTTTAACTCAATCAGAAGGGGAAGGCCAGCCAAAACTTAACGGGGAAGACAGTTCTTTGCAAACTCTGGACTCATTGTATGACAGTCAAGGAGAGGATAGTGTGAATCCAAACGAGGTCAATACAGAAGGCAATGGTCTGACTGATGGTTTAAATCCATCAAGGATTTCCACTCCAGGTACGAGTTCAGAAATTCATTCAGGGGGCTATAATGAGAAGCACATGACCCAGAAAAACTGTTCATTTGATGCTGAACCTGACTCATACAAGAATAAGGAGCTGTCGTAGGGATATTACAATGCTTGAAAAGGTCAAATGACTTGAAGATGCCTAATTGAGGTATTCCATGAGTTCAGAATATCTGAAGTGGGGTCGGGTCCTATTACTTCGGGATAGAGATTATGGGATTCTTGTGACTTAGGATTACTAACATAGCCAGGTGGAGTCCTAGTACTTGAGAATAGACATTTGGTATTTTCAAGGGCCTGTTTGGTTTCTATTCTCATTTTTTATTTTTAAAAACTGTTTTATATTACAGTTTTCAAAAGTGTTTTTAAAACAAAAATAAAATGACAATTCTTTTGTTTATGTTGGTCAAAAACAGTTATAGAATTAAAAAATGGATTGGTGGTAATGGTTTTAGGCAATTAACGGTGGTGATTAATAATAGAAATTAATTAAGATAACTATAATTTTTAATAATTAAATGCAGTACATTTTAAAAACAATAAAAATAAAATGAAAACAACTTAAAGTTGTTTCCATATTTTTTTAAAAAAATGAAAACAATTTTAAAAACAACTAATAAAAACACTTATCCAAACAAATTTTTAAAATTTTCTATTTTTAAAAATAAAAAATGATTTTTAAAAACAGAAGACAAACATACCCCAAGTCTCCTGGGGGGAAAATTGTGGCATCTCCATGTCAGATATTGTTATGCCAGATTGAGTCTGAAGTTGGGTCCTATTCTACGGAATAGAGATTGTAGGATTTTTGTGATTTAGAATTGCTAGCATACCCATTTAGAATTAGTAACATAGGATTACTAGTACAAACTCAGATGGCGGCGTGCTTCTTTCCATCACGTGCGATGCATAGCATATATAGTTTCACTGGTCATGGCACTGACCATTAGATTGAGGTTGGTTCATGTACATTAAATGGTTGCCCTTATGAGATCATATTCATGAGGTTAGTATAGAGATGATTGACAAGACTTGAGGATTTTCGGAACTAAAATGCAGATCAAACTATGAAATTAATCATTTTGTATCCCCATTTCAGTGATTAAAGTAATGAATTTATTAAAGACGGATCAACATAACTGTGAAATAAAAATGTTGGAGGCTCAACTATTTATAGGATGTCGAATAGTGTGGCTTAATCCTGTTATATGTACCGAGAGTTTAGATTATTATTAAATTTTTTATTTATAGCAATGTCAACATTAATGTAAAATGTTCCTACTTTCTTGTTTTTCTTGGCCTGCGTCTTACATTCATTCATTTTTTCTTTCTTCTACAATTTTCATTTTCATATTCTGTCTTTTTTTTTAAAAAAAAAATTCCTTCTCTATTTTTTTTTTGTCTGCGTACCAGATCATATGACTCTGATGTTACATTAAACTTTGTTAAATTAGATATATATTATGTTTGTCTTTCTATTAAAGCACTTTCAATTTATTTTTTAATTAATTAATGTAGGACTCTCTTAATACATTCTAATAAATGTTTCTTCAAGTAAAAGTAGCATGTGATTTTATACTGAAGTGTAATTTTGTTTTCTTTTTTTTAAAAAAAAAAGTTGTATTATTTGTGATTTGTGAGGACTATATCTTTGAATTTATTAACTCCGCACACAATGGTTGAAAATTAAATACAAATAATAAATGTATTTGGCTCATAGGTGTAAAATCATAAGCTTAAATTTTATTATCGATGTGAAGATTTTTTTTTTTTTGTGAACAATCTAAAAATATTTTTATAAACATTTTTTGAATTTGGAGGCAAGTTTTGTGTACCGTGACTGTTCAAAATCTAACTCATAAATTTTGTTATTAAAAAAATTGAAAATGAACTATTGGCTCAAAGAGAAAAGAAAATGTGTGTCACTAACATTGATTTAAATTAAATTAACTTTTTTATGCCCTTCAAGACTAGCTTTACCCTTTGACATGTTGGACGAGGAAGTTAGACAAAAGCATGAGCTTTTAGCCTTTAATATAAAAATCAAGTTTACCAATGCACTTTTCTTTTTGGAAAAAGGACAGAGCAATTGGCTTTTGAGTTTCGTTGCTTTATAGAAACTTGGATCAAAAGTGATGTTTATTTTTCACAAAAAAAGAAAAAAGAAATTTCCTTAACATACTTTACCACTTGGAGTATAATTGGTGTGTAGGAATGAATATATGAGAGTGGGGATAGGAACAAAGAAGTCATAATTGTTATGCATGAGAAAGAGAAGGAAATAATTTTCAAAGTAATGTTTGGTATGATGAAGACAGAAAAGGAATAGGAAATATGAATCTTTGAAACTTAATGGAAATATCAAATAGTTAAGTTGCTGCTGTAAGGGTATATCAGACTTTTCAGCCTTTATACATATGGTAGTATTTTTTGGGGAGAATTACATATAGATCTTACACAAAAAAAATTTATTACTATAAGATTTATTTAGAATTGAATTAAGGTTATTGAAAACTATTTTAATATGATTCTCCTTATTTCTTAACTTCATTGATAGAATGTTAGAGTTTAAATGTGATGGAAAATGATAATTTATTCACACTGTAAATAGGACATAGATCTACTGTAAGAGGTTGGTCCAATGCAATATGACAAATCAAAATTTAAATCCTTACTAACCAAAAATTTCACATTTAGTGATCCAATCATCCTTCAAATATAATTGTCTCCAATTGAAAAATGCATGTACCTAAAAAAATTAAATTCATTCACACTAAACTGGTGTGTTTAGCTTAGTAAGAATTTGGATTTGGTTCAAATGCCCTGTCAAAATAAGCAAAAATTTATAAATTTAAATTTGATTTAAATTCATTTCTTTTTACAATTCATTTGTAATTTTAAATTCCTTTTTGATAGAATGACAAGTAAAGACTTTGCAAGAAAATTAATTCCAAATCAAGAATTTTAATATTGAAATATGGGAGAAGGAATACTGAATTTGGGAACGTTAGTGTTAAAAAATTCTAATTTAATATTAATATTTTTATGGGGTCCTTACTTGTCATTCTCGCTTCCTTTTGTATTTTAGTCATTTAAAATTCTAATCACTTTAAATATCTCACTCTCTTTAGTCCCACTTGCTTACTAGAAAGAAATTAAATGGAATGAATTGAAAAAAATAAAGGTAAAAATAAAATGATCAAAGGGGATAGGTGAATTTATTCATAAGGGGGAGGATTAATTTAATTCATGAAGTTATGAATTATGATTCATGAGATTTTTGAAGAGTGTGATAATTGTCACATTTATAATATATATTAATGAATTTTATCATGCTTAACATGAGGGAGAAGGGTGATTTAATTTATTTTTGTGCTAATTTTTTCAACAAATTCCATTACATTTTATTCTAATAACCAAACGGGATTTTTGTGTTTTTACTATTCATACTTCTATGACTATTATATCTTTTTTCATATCTCATTCTTGTCTCTTGTTAATTAAAATATAAAGATAAATCTATCATTCTCAATTTTTTATTTTTGTTTCGAATATCAATCCATCTATTTCCTTCATTTGAAATTTTTTAAATTATCCAAATAAAAAGATTTTAAATATATAAATTTAAAATGTGATATTTGAAATGTGTGCGAGATTTCAAATTTAAAAAATCCATCAATTTAGTGTGTGTTTGGTTTTCAATTTGGCAAAAGTCAATTTGATGAAAGTCAATTGTTGTAATAAAATTTGTGTTTGAATATATTTTTTCAAAAGTTAGGTTGACAAATTGAAAGTTGTTTGAATTAATAAAAATTTATTCTTTTGAAATGTACTTTTTAATATGTAATAACTAAAAAGGACATTAATTTATGATAATTTATAATTTATATTATACAAATATAATATATTAGCAATGTTTGAAAAATGTAAAACAAATTTAAAATGACATAAAATTTAAAATGTTAAATAATAAGAAAAAATATAAAATTTAATTTTGGAAAAAATATGTAATAAATAGTTAAACATTCATTAATATTGAATAGTTACATGACTAATGGTTTGATCTTTAATATACAATCTAATCTATAATAGAATCTCGAACCCTATTCATCTCTCTATTAAAAGCTACGCTTGAAATTGCACTTGAAAATTGTTGATGAAAATACATGCTCGTCATTATCATCATTAGTATTAACCATATTTTCGTCTTCAAAACCCCTAAAGTTAGAATCGGTTACAGATTTTCTTCTAACAAAATTATGTATAGCCATTGTTGCACCAAAACAAACTTGCGTCACAAATGGATAGCTAGGCATATGTTGTAAGATTGCGAATATATTTTTTCAAACCTCGAAAGTCCTTTTAGTCGTGGTCCTTAAGCTTGAATGATAATAATTGAAAATCTCATTATTATTTGCAAATCTAGATAAACGCTTAAAATCTGGGAGGTGGTACCTATGAGACCTATAAGGACCTAAATATCCACGTGGTGTTGAATAAATAGCATCTAACAAATAATATTTACCTACCAATAAAAAAATAGAAATTATAAGATCCCAAAAAATATTGAGTAAATTATTTTAAATTAGATAAATATGAAATATACCTTGGGGTGGATGTGAAAATTTCATATTCAACCTTGTGAGTGTATAGTCAAACAAACAAGCATCATGGGTAGTTCCTTCCCATCCAGCCATGACAGAAGTGAAGCACGTATCCCAATCACATATGGCCATTATATTTTGTGTTGGAATACCTTTCCTTCCAATACATTTTCCTTGCTCTTCAACACTAACCACGCACGGGATATGTGTTTCATCAATTGCTTCTATGGCATCTTTAAAGAATGGCCAATATCGCAGATCACTTAAAATTTTTGGATAAATATCTTAAAAAGTACAATCTTTTGGTTGGATATATTCCTTTGCTAGCTTCTCACAAGCACGCAATACATTTTTAAAATGTCTGTGAACAGTTTCTATTGAATGTTAAAATCATTCTTGTGCCATCCTATTCCCTACCCCATGTCCAATAATATTTAGGAGCATACCGACCATTTCATGAATCCTTGTTCTTCTAGTTGGACACAAATCATGTTGCACTAGTTTATCACAAAGTTGAAAAAAAAACATCTTTTTCCATGCGAAACATGTCATAACAACACTAATGATGCCCTTGCAAAATTTCTTACACCCATGCATGACTTGATTGTGAACTGGTTCTACAAGGCTCTTTCAATAAAATTGTTGAATAATTAGATACTATTGCAGTAATAGCCTCAACCTCATTATCTTCCGCATGTACAAGTAATTGTAATGAGCGAGATTGTGCATTGTCATCCATAAAAATTGAATAGTATAATTAGACAACCATTATGCTATTGTCCATGACTTAACATAAGAAACACATAACACAAGAGTTAAATAACACAGTCAAGTTCAAAACAAAGTTAACAACATGAACGACACTAGCTAAATTTAAAACATTAAGAAGGTAAGTTAGGATTGATCTAATCTATTTTTTTTTTCCAAGCACTTCAAATAGGTCACTAATGCTCTTCTATTGTCCCTAAGCCCAATATACATGTCCCTTGCGGTCTTATCTAACGAAGCCACAGCACACTATCCAAGAAGCGCCTTATCACAAGCAATCTCCTCAATTCTATAAAGTTCCTTTGCAACATCCACTACATTTTGATCAATTGGTTTTGTCCTACCCTCTATGGAATTAAGAATTGACTTCAATGTTGAAATCCTATCCTTTTGTGTAGACACCAATCGACTCATTGAATCAACCATCACGGTTGCAAATGTTTTCCCTTCTTGTTTTGACCACTTTCACCTCTCTTTCTCTTGCTCCCCAAATTAGTACCACTACTATATGCATTGTTCAAGTTGACTTGCCTAATTTCTAGGAGAGCTCCTCCACTAATATTTCTCACATCATCACTATCTCCTGATCCTTCAGTCAAATTCAGTTGAGGCCTATACACATCTTGTGGGTTATCAGCTGCAGGTGTCCACATATAAGTACCTCGTGCTGTAATTGGCTAGAACAACTATGTCAATTCTTGTACATATGGAAGTGGTCTATGTCTGAATTTTTTAATACTTAGGATTCTCTT